CAATGATAAGAACTATAGGTCTTCCGGTGGCGGTATAGCATAATGCCCGTGGGCCAACGTGTCGATTCTGTTGTTGAGCGTTGAGCGCTTATCATCAAAACGGTTAAGCGCCAACTTGGTTGTACGTAAAGTGTGTACCTCGTACTCAAACGAACGGATTGACACGTTCTGTCGGTACGGAGTGTAGGGTAACGATAATGTCGGTGGACACTCACCACCATGTATCACTCCGATGACCGCACGGGCATTCTCTCCAGCCAATGCTCGTTTTGACGCATCGTCACCATCGTCACCATCGTCTTCAAACAAACACCGTTTGTAATCGTCCAAAGACAGATGGTTCCGAACGACATGTCCGCGGATCCCCTTAGACTTTATGAGTTCGCTGCCTTCCATGTCAAATGCGTAGCACTTTGATCGAAGTGCAGCGATCTCAAAGAGAGTGAGGCCACTGGTCTCGTCTGAAAACAAGCCGGGCATCTTCTTTCTATCGGTGGAGTAGCAAGGGTGATCCTTGGGCAGGCTAGATGCGTCCACGTGCACCAGTAAATCGGGGCTACCAGCTAAATCCTGGTAGAAGTCGCCTACTCTGAGCAGGTATATGAAGGAGTCTGAGAAAAATTAAAAATATATAAATATAAAAAATATTTCTACTGTACGGTTGTACTCACCAGTATCCATGTAAACCAATTCGATTGCACTGCCATAATGTGGTTTCAATACGTCGTAGAAGTACTTGTACATTAGCGTCTTGCTAATGTCAAGCACTGCTAAACCGACGTATATTGGTTTGATAAACTTGACCATCTTTGTGTCCATTATGACGGCGCACAACCTTTCACCGTATTTGATACAGTCGTTGAAGGTTGGTTGGTTTACGAGCTTGCTTAGACGTTCGGGACTGGAGATTAGCTCAATACGGATGCGTTTCCGCATGTTCTCCATTGTTTTCCCTATAAAATGTAAAAAATTATCGAATAACCCACTTTAGCATTGAGCATGCACTTACCAAAGACGGCATTGTTCATTAGTTTGAAAAATGCAATTTCAAAAGCATTTGCCGCCTTTTTCCGCATTTCAGTGTTCAACTCAATGTATGGTTTCAACCAAGCACTTTGTTGAAACTCTAAAACGCGGTGCACCTGCAGTACAAATATTTATATTAGTATCATCGCTTATAGTTTATAGGTTAACTATACATACTTTATCGACTTGCAGTCCGTGTGCGATCGCCTGTTTAAGATTAACGTAATGTACGACGTACCGCTGTTTGGGTTTCAAAGTGGCCATGAGTTTGGTCTCTTTGGAACCCGGCGGTACATCGTTGACAGGCAAGAACGGCAAGTCGTTGTGCTCGTCATGCAGCTCTTGTGGATACGATACGTCCACTTCATATATACGCCCCGTATTACCAGTGTCCGACAACGATTGGAGGTCAGCCAGAGGGTCTGCTCCTTTATACCACCGGAAGCCACCGTACGGCATGGGCTGACTCATAGCCCACCCGTAAAGGTTATTGCCTGTAAACATTAAACGTTATTAAACCACCGCTCAAATATTGCGCGTTTATATATGTACGTATAGATTACTTACAGTCTTGGTACACGATCCATGATTCTGGTTTTGACGGATCGTAATCGGGTGTCTTAGAATTGTTGGCCTTTGCATAGTGCTTGACGGCCTGCACTAGCCCACCACGAATGCCCTGTTCCACCATCAGTAGCATGTCGTAGTCGTTCAAGAGCTCCAGCTTCATCCTGGTGTATTTCAACATACAATCGAAGCTAAAACCAGGCGCGGTGTAATAGTGCGCCGGGTCCAAATTGTATGTTGAAATACAGATGTCGCGGAAGTTCTCAAACACATCAGCCAACAACAACACGTCGATCTTAAGATATAGGTCGCTGTACTCACCGAGGGTTGAGCAGTCGAAACGGTTCCACACCTCCGTGGCATGTCTATAGTCGTCGTCATCAATATTAGACTCACTCAACTGACTATAGAAAACGTCCTGAGGTGGTAGTTCCGTTTCTTCCAATTTAGCCCAACTATCAGTGTACTCGTTAAAGTGTACTCNGCTAAGCGTCTGGTTACCCATGATAAATTTCTTAGAATTTATTATGCCAAAACGAGAGAGGTTGTCTTTGTTCTTATAAAATGTAGACGGTAATGTGAGTTATAATATGGCGGTGCCTTTGATGTTGGAAATATGCTTACCTATGCGTCTGGTAGGCAATGATAAAAATTCTTAGAAAACGTTTTAGTTTAACTTGGATTCATCCCCACCCATTATAGGTTGGTTTATGTTATGTTTCGTTACCCCTTTCCTGTATAGGAATTGTTGATGAAGACTTTGTAGCGTTAATATTAAGTAAATATGTTAAAGTGGCAACGGCGGCCACTATTTGACGTACACTATTTCAATGTAATGTGTATGTTTACACGTACTTTTATCAGTTACCGTTATCAGTTCACATGAGGTTTACCTTACCCTCCAGTAGATGACATCGTAGGAGGAGACAACCATTTCCGAATGGCTACCTACCCCACCACTGACATGAAGTTATAGTGCGCATGCGCACTTTAATCCCCATTTTAATTGACCTTAACACCCCCACCTAAGTTACCTATTACCCCCACTATCGTGAGACCACGGCTCCCTTTACCCTATCTATGATAAGACCACGCCTACTCCTTACCCCCACCCTCATAAATACAATCTTCCATTACCCACACCATCGTGAGACCACTCCACCCCTTCCCACCACCATTAATAAGAACACACCTCCCCTTACCCAATCAATGATAAGACCACTCCACCCATAACCCCACCCTCATAAGACCACGCTTCCCCTTACCCCCACCACCAAGAAACCACGTTTATTGTTTGACCTTGACCAAGGTCATTACCCCACACCATCGTGAGACCACTCCACAACTTCCCTCCACCATTTATAAGACCACGCCTACCCTTACCCAATCAATGATAAGACCACGCCTTCTCCTTACCCCCACCCTCATGAATGCGATCCTCCATTACCCCCACCATCGAGAGACCACGCCTCTCCTTACCCAATCAATGATAAGACCACGCCATCTACTTACCCCCACCATCGAGAAAACCACGCCCACTGTGTGACCTTGACATTACCCCCACCATTAAGAGACCACGCCCACTGTGTGACACGCCCCTCCCCCCGACCACGCCCACCCACCCAGTGGTTGGGTAGGTGAAGGGGTGAGGGGGGGGGGGGGGTTCTAGAACTCTCTATTTTACCCTACTAATATGTTTTTTTTTTGTTTGTATGATATGATTTTCAAATGTATAAATTCATATTTTAATTCAATCGGATGTCCGCAAAATACAAACGATTCGACGCACAGTGGGTCAACGAGCTTCAAAAGTTGGCATTAAATCATGGAGCAAATAAATATATTCCTAAAATTAATATTATTTTTATTTTTGTCCATCAGATATATAAAAAGTCATTTACATAATATTAACATAGGTATTTACTATATACTAAAATCCCAGTCCCTCATTATAGCAATGCAAATTTGATTTTGCGCGATCGTCTCGCAAGATGACCAGAGCCGTCGCGGCCTCGGCGTAGGTGGGGTACACCGTACCGTCGACCGTACTCAGGTCCTTGAAACCGATCGGTCCCCTGCGGTACAGCAGCAACGTCCGCAGGTAGAAACGCTCCCTGTTGCAAGGACTGACCGCGTACATTCTCGCGATGTTCGGATACGTTTGGGCGCGTTGGCGCATACACCACGACTTTTCCCTGCTGTCCCACACGTAGCAGTTGGGTATTTCGTGATACAGGTACCGCCTGGCGCCTGCGTTCATGCGCGTCAGATCGTCCATCAGCGCTTTGAGTTTGGCGTGAAACACGCGCGAAACGAAATCGGCCCAGTCGATAGACGTCAACGCGTCTGACAGGTTGTCCGCGAACTCCTTCCACTTCGGGTTTTAGGTGAAAGTGATGAACAGATCGGGCTTGCCGTATGTCCGCACCAAGGCCATTGCGTCGTGATAACGTCTTTTCATGAACCTCACGCCGGCCGTGTGCGAAGTGGGCAGGACGACGCGGGACCCGACGTCGTTGTCCCTGGTCACGTTGTGTTGCCCGTTGATGTGATCCATCAGACTTTGGCCTCCACGAAAAAGTCCGACTGGTGCGCCTCGTAATATTCGAACCGCTCCGATTCCATCCGCACGTAATAGTCGCACAGGAGCTGTTGAAACAGAAAACCGCCGGCATATAACGAGCTGAACCCGCCGTGACCGCCGTCGTTGTTGCCCCCGTAATGGACGGACTGACTATAACACATAAACTCCCTGATGGACACGCGTTGCCTGTTGGTCGTTCTCCGCGCGCCCGTCTGTTCCATATGTTGGTTCCATCCCCTTTCGCCGTTCGGAAAGAGCAGCGGGTATACCGTCGGATCGATGTGTGGCGACCTCGTCGACAGCGTGCGCATCGCGGGTCCGGCCATCACGCGGTCGTAAACCGCGAAATCCACTTGCGATGGCGGCAAGCCGTTCTCGCCGGTGAACACCGCGGTGACTTCATTGACGCACGAGGCGTTGTAGCGCCTCGGGTCGCTGTTGCGGTCTTTGATGTAGAACATGGTACCTCTTTGCGGTGCCTCTTCCGGCGGTCGTCGGGTCTCGTCAACCCACACCTCGTTCATATTCCTGCAAGAAACGAAAGATAATATATATTAGGTGTAAAAATTGAGACGACAGTCGTCGTGGCGTTACCTGAATGCTTCAGCGAACGGGTTGACGGCCCTCAACATTTCGTCAAGTTGCCGTAACACGCTCTTTAACAGATTGGCTCGGCTGCGATTGGCTTCGATCCGCGCCGCGGTAGCTTCCGTCGAGTTGATGAAGTACAACTGACAGTATGTAAATTGTCGGGAAAGTGTTTTTAAATAAATCATTTGTCGGCAAAGTAATTTAAAAAAAAAAAATTACTTTAGGCAGTGGCGTATTTTGAATGACTTCTCGGGTGGTGTCCAACTTTTAATGAATACCACAAACGAAAATTGTAGAAATGTTTACTGACGTAAAAAAAACTTACTATTTTTCTAATTACTATTTTAGGAATTACAAATAATTTGAAATTTGAAATTTTAGTACTGTTAAAACAATACACAAAATGAAAACTTAATGTCATAAACGTAACTCGCGAAAAGAGATTACCTTCTGTGCTCCCGAGGTCCTCTCTCCTCTACGATTCATTCCTTTTCGTCTTATATACTAAAACATTTTGTTTTTCTTCTTTTTGCAAAATTAATAATACTATCATTTTCAAAAATGTTTATAAATATTTAATTCCTGGTCTAGTAACAATAGATCAGGAAATTACAATTAAACCAAACATTACAAAAATGTTTTACTTCCAGTTTTACAAATGATAAACTACATTACAGTATACAGAGTGATTTTTTTATCATAACCCACTCATTTACTTGTAGAATAAATATAATTTAAACATTTTTTTTTGGTTTTCTTTAGTTACACATTATTTTTAAATTATTAACTATTTAAAACTTTTTATGTTCATCCCTTATGCCTTGTGTTAACTTTGTTTTATTGTCTTTTAAATGGGAACACATATTTTGAATATATTAAAATGTTTGGATTTTTAATTAAATAGTAAATGGCATTTGAATTTTTAATATAACTTTATTAGTTTGTTAGATATAAACATTTAAAGTTTCAAATTTTTGAGTTAATATTCATGTATAATACACATGATGATACGATTACAAATACAGGTAGCTAAATGGTTTATATGATATCAATGTCGCAGTCACGGATTGTTTATTATCAATTATGACTATCATAGATATACTTTCTGTATTGTCAGTTAGTGTATTTATAAACTAACAACAATGTGCCTTATTACCATTGATAATAACAACGCTGTGTACCTGCTAATTTCTTTGAAGTTGTTTTAAACAAGGTAACTCATAACTAAACACTTTATTTGTAATAAGTAAACAAATAATAAAATCTCCTTTCAGTATTGATGTTCGTAAATTGCTTGCTTTTGATGATGTTTCAGTGTCATTCCACTTCGAAATTATAAATAACGATTCAATTAGGTACACAAAAAGCTCAAGAAAATCATTGACAGCATAGTTAAACCCATGNTAACAAATCGAAAATAACTTTAGGGTTTAACCATGACAAAATAGATAGGTATGTCAGCAACAAACGAGTTTTGGACCGTTTGACGCATCCCGCCCTTCTCACCCATAGTAGTGGTTCGCCTGATTTCATTGGCCGTAGGTTTGCCCGCCAAAATACAATTCTTTAAATCAAATACTTGACAGCAACTTTAATATTTTGTATTGTTTTTTATGATACCTTTACTTTTTACTATTATTGATTGATATTAATCTATTGTGATATCTATTTATACTACAATATAAACAAATATGATCAATTTGCAAATTATTTGATATGAAATGATTATGCCGGGTATATTAAATGAAATGATCAGCGTTTATTTTAAGTGTCTTAAAATATTTTGAAAACTTGATATACTTACATACTTTTACTTAAATTTAAAAAACAAAAATTTACTTAATAAATAAATGTATGTAATAAGTAAAATTAAATTACCAAATAACATTAGGCCAGTTCGCCTTAGGATACTGTGCTGACAAACCAACCTCTTGGTTTTATAGAAAAAAAAATAACATTAATGTGAAGCAAATTATATATCATTTAATGCAATGAAAGCACTTCTAAATATAAGGTATATTACATACATAATTTTTCATTATTCCTCTATACGCTACAAATTATTTTTGCACAACCAATATTAACGCATAAATGATAATAATATCACTATATTTATGGAAGATGACCATACAAATATTCGGCCAATGAAATGAGGCGAACCAGCTATAGATGGGGTGAGGAGTATCACAAAGGGGTTGCGTATCACAAAGTTGCTGACATACCTATCTATTTTGTCATGGTTAAACCCTAAAGTTATTTTCGATTTGT